ACCTCAGGGATGAAGGAGGATGGGGTCTACCAACTGTGCTGCTTTTCAGCTAGCTCCACTTCATCAGCATCTCTCCTCATGCAACATTGCTTGCTTCCTCCACCGGGATTTAACTAGGAACTAGGCCATGCATAGGGCAGCTTTATGGACACTATTATCCTGCAGCATGTCCATCCACAGCTCAGAAAGAGCTTTTCTCAAATTCTACCCCATTGATTCACTGCATGTTATCATCCAAAGAGTGATAAAACAAGGGGCTTTCCTAATCCTGTAAGGTAAGCCAGCAGGCTTTGGTCTAGTGTTCATTACATTGACCAACACAAGGTTTTTTTCTGAACAAAGTCTGTAATAAAGAATCCACTCTAACCCTACAGTTTTAAAAAAGAAAGGTAAACCAGAAACATCTGTGAAGCATCCCTCTGAAAGAGACAGGAGACTCCACAAGTCTCACGCACAGCACTTGTGAAATCACCATGCTTGGCTCTCTCACTGGGAAGACTGGTCCAACACAACTGAGAAACCAGAATCATTTGTATGAGACGATGTTCATGATGTATTTGAGCCCAAAGCAGTTTTGAACACACAGCTCAGGTGGAAAGTGGAAAGGGGGATAGGGCAGCAACAAAAGACAAGATAATAGCAGATGTGGAAATACCATAACCTTTCATCTGTAGCTCTCCTAAGGCACAACCAGTCATTGGCGTTACATAGCTGCTGCCAGCCAGAAGCTCTTGGCCAGGCTGCTCTGCTGGCTCCCATGCTCACGGCACCAGAGCTACTCATCCTTCTCGGACCCAGGACTGCAGTGACAAACTCCAATGGCTCCCCCTGGGGAACAAGCTGCCTTGGCAATTCAAATGGTGCTGCCTCCCACCAGCACAACACAACTCTCTACATCAGAGAGGACCTCCAGTAGCCAAAAGCCACTTGTAAAGAGCTGAAGTACAACAGTGATGGAAGCCATAATACCAAGGCAAGCTCAAGAGCTCCCCATCAGGATGATGCTGCCAGAACCAAATCTCGGCTCCTGGCAGGCAACACAAAGCTGAATTTAGGCACCTTGGTTCAAAGAGAGCTGCAAGACACCCAGTTCAGGCCCAGGACTGGTCAGGTGTCTCTCTCCTGGCATCCCACCATGCCAGTAGACACCCGGAGCAGCAGGGTGACCCCATCAAGTGCATCAGTGGGACAGGCAGTCCTAGATGAGGCAGAGCCAGGCCACACCAGAGGGGACTTGTCCCCCATGTAGCACACCCAAGTTGCTGCACTCACAGTTGGCAGCAGTAAGACAATTTGTGGTGCAAAGATGCACGACTGGCCTGGGGCAGGCAGCCCAGCCCCGTGTATCACTGTTAACAACACTCCCCATAAGCACATCTGTGCCATGGACTCACAGTCTACATGCTGGAGCACAAAGCAAACATGTAACAGGGCCAGGGGAGGGATGGCTGCACCCTACCCTGCTCCCAGGGTGATGCTCTCATCCCAGGATACAGCCTCCCCACCCTCTCATTCCCCACAGATAGCTCCCCATCTCACACCCTAGTGGGTCCAAGGCCCTCATAACCTTTGGCAGATGCCAGTCCTACAGCCAGGGTCACTGACAGAGTTCACCCCATTCTGTGAGGGGAGAAAGGCTCCATGCCCAACAAGCTCTCTGGTCTGAGCACAGGTACCAAATGCAATAAGCAAGAAGAAAAACGAAGTCACAGCCCCATAAAGTCATCACACAAGGAGGCTCAGACTCTATAACAGGCCAAAATGGGACCAGATCTTTTTTTTTTTTTAAATGAAGAGGGGACCCACAGAGAGCTTTGTTCCTGAACCTAGGGGACAAACCCAGGAGCCTTAGGAGCAAACCACTGGGAAGATTAATGGTTTGAAGTCTTGGAGGTGAAATGTCAGAGGGGCCACATGAGAAATCCGTGATAAGAGCTGCCAATTATCAGCATTTACGTCACCACCACCAGAGAGGCTATTTTATTACATTTTAGTCTCCGAGGTCACAATTTCTCATGAGGTGGTTATTTTTGCCGCTTTGCTGATCTGTGTCTCTTGGTATGAGCCCATAAGCACCAACAGACAACCAAGGAGAAGAGGCAAGAGCAGTGAGGTAGGACTTAGACATACTGCTGCTCCAGAGCCTTGGGCTGGAAGGAAATGGCGACAATTACCATAACAATGAAGTAAATATCACTTCCCTTACGCTAAAGCTGCTTTCAAGTCCAAAAAATGCTTCAGAAGAATGAGGCATTATTACTGTGATCGAAAGAGATTACACAGACAATTGATAACTGCCCCCCCGCTGTGGGTCTAAAGCACCCACCAGCTCCGCTGCTCCCTGAGCCAGCAGCTGCCCCGTGGCGCCCGGGGTCCTCCAGGCAGCGGGACCGGAGGGATTCAGAAAAGTAACAAACAAAAAATATCGTAAGTCCATCCTGCTCTTCTTTAAGGGCAGTTCACAAAAGTTCTATTTCTTGTTCGTCCAGCGGCCCTTCCTCACCTGGGTCAGGCGGACTACAGGGCCTCGCAGAGGTGGAGGCAGCCGCCAAAGCGCGGGGCCGCCCGCGCCTCACCGCTTGCCTCCGGTTCGCTGCGGGATGGCGGGAATCGGAACAATTCCTTCTGCCGGGGGAGGCCGGCAGCCAGCCCTGACAAGATGCCGAGCAGCACACCCCACGCAAAGCCACGACAGGACAGGGAGTTTGGGGTTATTGCCCCCACGCTGGAAGAGAGAGACACGCGTGCCCTGACCCTCTGCGGGTGCGGGCGGGCGGCCCGGGGCAGGGCCCAGCCC